TTTCCATATGCCAGATGCGCCTAAAAGGATCTCTCCTTTACTTTTACTATGGTAAACCTTTAAGTAGCAGCCGGAGGGAATGAAGTTATCGATCATTCGAATTTTAGGCTGAACATTACCTGCTTGCCATGAGCCACCTTACAATGTGGTTTAATGCATTCATAAAGAGCAACAGAAAGTCTTTGCGCTGGAACCCACAATTAATTGTTTTTGGCACCTTACCGTCTTTGTAGATGATAGTGGGAGGCATGGGAATCACAAGCCCGGGCCTTGGCCGGTGTGACTATTGCAAGACCCGCCCGTTTCAAGAAAAGTCGGTACAACCCGTGTCGGGAGCGATATTTCCTGGGACACTCCTAAAATCTAGGGGTGTCATGTTTTTCTCGTTTTAAGCACACCCACAACCAATGAAAGTAAAAATATGTAATTAACATCGATACTGACTTTCTACCCCACCAGGACATCACTAGCGATAAACACCCGATGACACAATGTGCCACCATGTGGATGAGGATCACCCGTGGAGACGTCCCAGAAACCGTGTTCAGCCATTAGACCATATTTATAGCCGGGCTATATTGCAGCCCTCGGCAAGAGCCAGGGTGGGGCTTCAAATAACGAAAAATTTCATCCTAAAAAGGAAGGTGAATATCAAAGAACCCTTTGTGGGATGCAATTTTTCATTTTTTGAAGCCCTACTCTGGCTCTTGCCAGGGGCCGCAGTATAGCCCGGCCATAAATTATGGTCTAATGGCTAAACGAGGTTTCTCGGACCTCTCCACAGGTGATCCTCATCCACATGGTGGCACTTTGTATCATCGGGTGTTTATCGCTTGTGTAATGTCCTGGTGGGGTAAAAGAACATAGATAGATTATGTCCCCTGAAAAATTGTGACGCATTCCTAACTTCATTACATTTTTAGTATATTCATATATTTTATCGTGCACTTTTTTTGGCTAACGTCAAACCAGAGTCTGTTTCGGACATCCTAGAGTCAAAGATGCATCATACTCGGCTGAATTCTCGAATTCAAGTGTTACCATTCTAGAAAGAATGAAAACGCTATGACTGGTTTAGCAAACTCACTGTAGTTTAGAACTTATGAACCGACTAGAATAAAAGGAACTGTAAACGAATGGCAGAAATATGGCGAACAACTTGTGAAAATTTCAAGGGAAAGACCTAGAGACTTTTACAAAAGTGTACATTCTATGAGAATAAGAGACAAAAGTTTTAACCCTACCAACATTATTAATGATAAAAACGGAACACCGTTATTTAACGCTATCAGAAAGAAGGAAAGATGGAAGGAATACTTCTACGAGCTACTCAATCCAACAAATACACAAACTAAAGAATACTACTCCACCCATAAGGAAGAACAAGAAGAACCTTGCATTCTAATTCAAGAAGTTGAGAGAGTTATCAAGATGAGCCCAAATAATAAATCAGCAGGTATAGACGGTATAACGAACGAGGCAATTAAAGCGTGCGGAAAAACCGGAGCAAAATGGCTACATAGAATATTCACGGTAGCATGGAACGAAACGAAAACACCGGAGGATTGGCAAAAAGCTATTATAGTCCCAATTTGGAAAAACAAGGGCAATAAAACAGAGTGTGACACATATAGAGGAATTTCTTTATTGAACCACGTAGGGAAGTTATATTTAAAAGTACTTGAGACAAGAACAAAACATATTGTAGAGACACAGCTGAGTAAAGCTCAGTTTGGATTTAGGAAAGGAAAAAGTTGCACAGACGCCCTTTTCACCCTAAGACAACTTAGTGAAAAGGCAATAGAATATAACAAACAACTCAATAGAGCATTCATTGACCAAGAAAAAGCCTTTGACAGGGTAGACAGGAACAAACTATGGAATATATTGAACGACTATGGAGTACAAGGTCAGCTACCAGACAACATCAGATCTCTGTACCAAACAAGCTCAAGCGTAGTTAGAACAAATGTTGGTGTGACAGACGAATTCATACTAAGAACAGGAGTAAGACAGGGCTGTGTACTATCACCACTACTATTCAATATATACATGGACAGAATAACAACAGCAGCAAACCATGTAATGATAAGCGAACTGTTAACTACACCAAGCAGTGAGTCAGAGTTAGTTGATAGAGATCATTATAATGAAAACATACACGCCGATCCTGAAGAAGTACATCCCCAACTGAACGAAATACTTTTCGCAGACGACCAAAGCATAATACATGAAAATGAAAAAGAACTTCAAATCCACGTAAATGCGCTACACACAGTCTGCAACGAATATAACATGAAGATCAGCATCACCAAAACAGAAATTCTGAAAATAAGTAGAACACCTAATATACTAACTATTCAAGTTAACAACGAACAACTCAAACAAGTGCAGCAATTTAAATATTTGGGGAGCATCTTCACAGATGATGGAAGAATTGATAGGGAACTTGAAGCAAGATGTCAAAAGGCGAACGCAGTAACTTACCAACTCTCCCCACTGCTAAAACACCCAAGCAAACACTATGGCACTAAAACGACAACTGATAAATTGCATGTTTATACCAACCATCTGCTACCAATGACAAACCTGGTCCCTAACAAGAGCACAGGAGAAAAAGATCACAACGTGCGAAATGAGATGCTTACGTAAGGCTGCCAATGTCACAAGGAGAGACAGAGTTCGAAACGAGAACATTAGAGCAATTGTAGGAACCACACCATGCCTGCAATACATAAAGAAGCAACAAATAGAGTGGTTTGGCCACTTGATGCGAATGCAAACCGACCAACTGCCTCTACGAGCATACAACGAACAGCACTACTGCCCTAGAGCAAGAGGCAGACCGAGAGTACTATGGATAGACAATATATCAGAGATCCTGAGGCAACACAGACTAACAACAACACGTGCAACACACCTGGCCCAGGATAGAAAACTGCGACTCCCCACTATGCTGTGAGGCAATTGTGGACAAGACAAGACAAACGAAAGGAACAGAAGGGTCCGTTTCAGAGATTTCCTGCCACAACACTGTGAGGCATTCCACTAATAGAGAAAAGAAAAAGCGAATGATAAAACACTGTTTGAAAAAAAAAAAACGAACGCCATAGCTGTCTTATTCGTTGACTGGAAAGGCGTTCTTATGTATAATTTGAACTATTTCAATTTTTAAATTACAAAAATTTTGAACATTTAGATGTCAAAATTACATTCCTTTTAGTAGCTATGGTATAAAAAAAATGTATTAGTATCTCTCCAATTTTATTACTCAGAATCAGGCAGATGCACTGGAATGCACAGCTCAATATACAGATGTAAGATTTAGCAGTCATATGTGCTGTTGGATGATTCCATCGGTGAGCCCAGTACCAGAGTGCCATATGTTGACTCTGCCTTTATGGAAGCCTCCTCAATCAATCTGCACACAGCTACCCTTGGAAAATCTTCTGAAGAAAGAAAGGGTGGGGGGGGGGGGGGGCATACCTATGGATCACCATACAAATTATGAAGCTATATTATATCCCATGATACTAACCAGAATAACAAATGCCCAAAAAAGTCGGATGTATCGACCAACAGGCACAATTGTTGCAGCTTTGCTGTAAAACGACACAACACACTAATGTCATCCAGACAACGATGAGGCAGAATGTATTTGTCAGCCTCTAAGCATAAGCAACGGAATCAGTAGAGAAAGAAGATTATTATGGCTTGGAGAGAATGAGCCATCTAGGTCTAACCAGAGGGTCTGGCCGGCTGACTACACTCAGGGGAAAGGCAAGACGGACATATAACCAGATTGTGACCGGCACCATCAGTATTGGGACTCTGCTATGGCTGCTAAAGATGAGGACGGAACATACATGGGAATGCCCCAAGTACTGTGATGTCAATTCTTGACTCAACTCAACCTGTGTGACACGTGTATATTGACTACTACTTCCCTGGGGAAAAAAAAAAAAAAAAAATAAATATAAAATACATTTTCAGACACAAACTGATCGAATGGGAAGTCTTTAATCTCTTTAAACTGCCATAAACATATATGTGAAAAACAATATCCAAAGATGCCATAGTGAGACATACAGAAAAACACAACACAAGAAATGGACTGTAATAAATCTATAGAATACTAAACAGAAAACAAAACTACCAACTTCTGCTCGTCAAAGCAATCAGCATCCATCTTGCTCAGTGGCATGGTGTGAAAGAGCGGTCCTCAAAATGGACAGTGCAGACACACTGGGGGCAATAAGATAAATTCTTTGTGGATTTATCCAGTTCTATCACTGATACCCGTGGATGACAAAGAAAATTATTTAAAGCAAATTTCAATGGGTAATGTGGTCACAATTAACCTGCTGTCCTACCTACCATATGCCTGGATCAACCCCAGAAAAATAAAATATTCTATCAAAGGAGGCTTTTGATAACAGGATTAGTGGAGGTGAAAACACACTAGGCTACTATGTACCATACTCTGAGGTTATGAAACAGTGAGAATATGAGTTGCCGGACAAGTGATATGACAAGTGTAAGAATGAGAAATTATTTGTCTCTGGCAGAAACAACTAAGAAAACAGTGACAAAGTTCCAACTAAAAATCTGGACAGATTCTTGAAGTCCAAAGTGGACCAGTCAGTTATGATGGTCAGGACATGTATGCAGAATGACCGCCACAGCAGGCCAAGAACCAACCAGACCTCCAGATCAACCCAGGGTTCACTGGGAAGATAACATCTGACAGAGGACTGGAATGGAACAAAGCCAACTGCTGATAGAGAAGTCACGGGTGATCTCCCTGGAAAGCCTCTACATCGCAGAGTAGGAGAGGATCAGCTAAGTAAGCAGTAGAAAAAACATGTCAAACAGACGACATTGTGGTACAGTACATGAACTAAAGAAATACAGTACAGTGGCAAGGCAACTATCGAATCAAGACTTTATAAAAAGAATCCACCATAAAACTAATATAACATACACACAGCAAACACTGGTTAAGACACAGAAGCTAGATAATCCTTGATCTCTGAAGGTGACAGTCGTCGGAATCCTGTCTCATTACAGATCCCGATCTCAATGTTGTCCTCCGTCATCTGTCCTTCAAAGCTTTCCTTCAAGGTTAAAATGGCGGTGTGTACAGCATCCTCCAGTTCAAGAGTATCGCTGTACCTGGACACGAGGAAACAGAATCAGAATGTTTAAGATGTGTATCACAGATAACAACATAATGCATATCATTTATATTTCATATGTGCCCTTATGTTCACATCAGAGGTAAGAGCAATTCTTTTTTGCGCTCACCGGTTGTAAACTCTAGCAGAAAGTTCTGGTTGTTTGTCCACCTCTGGGCTTTACTTTTGTCCTAGAACATGAATGTTGCATGCACATCCATTTTACAGATCTGGTTTATTTGTAGGCAGACTGTTGGTTCCTTGCCTCTCAGGCAGATGCTTTCCAACTTTGAAAGATGACCCTAGGTGGTCAAATTCTACAGCATGCTTGTTTGGGAGGTGATGGGTCGATTCTTGTTTTCCCTATAAAAGGGCACCAACCCAAAAAGGGAATACAATTCAGGAATAAAATAATCAGCACATAACTGTCAGATAAAATATTTCTTTGTAACATTATTTAACGTGTGAGAGAGAGAGAGCCATGTCCTATTTTTTGCATTTGTTTTGTTGTTAACTCCCTTTCCCTTCATTTCCGCTTCTTCAACTTAGGTCAAGATACTATGCTTTCCCTCAAAAGAATATTTTGTGCAAAGACAATGTTATTTACTGTCATATGACAAATGAAGCTGGAAGCACAGGTTTGTGGCATAAGATTTCAACATTTTCTACTCATATTTAAAAGACCAAGTAATTTGTTTCCTTCCAGATTACTTAACTGAGTTACTTCAGTGTTACTGATGGCACATCGTGGTGTTGTTTACAGCTAGGCTTTGATGTATGTATCATTTAGTCCAACCCTAATTCTTCTTCTTAGCATTCACCAGCTGAAAGTTCTGGTTGTTCATCCACTTCTTAACTTTAGTCTTGTTCCAGCACTTGGGTTTTTGCATGCGCATCCATGTCACAGATCTGGCTTATTTGTATGCAGACTACTGGTTCACTGCCTCTCAGGCAGATGCCCTCTTACACAAATAGGAACGCAGTCTCAACATGCTTTATAGGGAGCAGTGGGTTAATTATTTCCCCCCAAATATGAGGCCCAGGAATCCACACATAATTTCAACGCTCTTAATATCCACCATGTACATGCTGGTCAGAGTGGCAGTGGATCTATTCTTGTTCTCCACACCCACATAGGGATTTAAGTTGACTGACTCTTGTATTTCTTCAAATGTGACTATTATACCCAGAACCTGAGTGTTGTGTGTGCCTCTGTTTGATGGATCTGACACATTTGTGCGCAGACTGTTGGTTCCTTGCCTCTCAGATGGATGCACCCCGACTTTGAAGAAAGCTCCCATGCTTTTGGGTAAGCAGTGGGTCTATTCTTGTTTTCCATATAATAGGGCCCCGGAACCCACACGGGGGACTATGTTAATGATACAGTATTTACACCATGTTATTATGTTAATGATAAAATACAAGAGATTCTCTGACTACAGGTGAGCACTATTTATCCTGTTATTCTCCAGGTGAGAACAAACAAACAATTTACAAACCTTTTTTCCAAAAATGTTTTCCCATTTACATGATTTCTTCCCATGGCTGTGGCTTTCCATGCAAAATGTGCTCCCTTCAAGAGGAAAGTCAATAATTACATTATTTTTTTTAATGGATTTTTGTTCGCAGGTTATTAATTAGGCAATCTGTGTATGTGCATGTCTACAATATGAGTGAGACGAATGAGACTGACTGTTTGTGTGAAATGTACATTTAAAAAAAAAAAATGGTTGACTGACTCATCTGGCAGACTTCTCTGGATTATTTACATGCAAACTACTGTTTCCTCGCCTCTCAAGCAGATTCACTCCGACTCACAAGAAAACCCCTAAAAAGTCAATGCTTATGACATGCTTGTTGGGGAGGCATGGGTTTACTCTTTCCCTGCCTTAATTAGGCGACAGAACCCATACTGGGTCGTTCAGTGGAGTGAGTTAACGACTGTTCTTTTTGAACCAATATTAATGTATTTAGCAGTTCCCCATCCCCTCTTCAAGTTAGGAAATCACAGGTGTGAGCAAAACCACTGGAACTTAACATCTGTTAAGACATTTGAAGATATAACCAGAACATGAATCCAGATGCACATACCGACTGGCTGATTATGTATACCTCACTTGTTTTAGCTATTTTACCACCAGCAGATTCTAATGACCAGAGGTGCATATTAGAATATACAGAATATATGAACTGTAGACTCAGAAAACGACAAGCTGCCTATTGCCAGAGATAACTGGTGGTGTCTTATGCAAATAACTGTGTGTGCAACTATAGATCTGTTGTAACTGCTGCTTTAAATTTTGGTGAACTGCATTCCTAGAGTTTGACAGTCTGTGTTGGCACTTCTGATGCCTGCCTTATGCATTTAATGTGTGTGTATGCTATTGGCTTTGCTGTTATGCAGTCTGAATGTTTTTAACAAGGGACGCAATAGACATTGTGTGGTTTTTGATGTCAAAGGAATGAAACAACTATGGGGTGACTCCTTTGCTACAAAGCTGGAAATGCAATAACCTGATCACTAGTATTTTTATATGCAGCAGTGAGACACAAAATTACATAGATAACAGTACAGTTTTACAGAAGAAGTATTCTGAAACAGTTATGGCCAAAGGATCATAAAACATGACAGACACAAAATTACACAGATAACAGTACAGTTTTACAGAATAAGTATTCTGAAACAGCTATGACCAAAGGATCATAAAACATGACAGACACAAAATTATACAGGTAACAGTACAGTTTTACAGAAGAAGCATGTAGACGTAGCTTTGGTTTACACACTGATAGATCTCAAAACTACACAGACAGCAGTACATTTTTACAGAAGTATTCTGAAACAGCTTTGGCTGAAGGATCATGAAATGTGACAGACACAAAATTATACAGATTACAGTACAGTTTTACAGAAGAAGCATGTAGATGTAGCTATGGTTTAGACACTGATAGATCACAAAACTACACATACAGCAAAACAGTTTTACACAAGAAGCGTGCTAACAGCGCAATGATTTACACACCGAGGGATCAAGAAACATGGCTTTACTTACAGAAGGATCACACTGGTATAGATATGGTTTACACAAGAAGCGTGCTGACAGAGCAATGATTTACACACCAAGGGATCAAGAAACATGGCTGTACTTACAGACGGATCACACTGGTATAGATATGGTTTACACAAGAAGCGTGCTGACAGAGCAATGATTTACACACCAAGGGATCAAGAAACATGGCTGTACTTACAGATGGATCACACTGGTATAGATATGGTTTCCCCTGATCATGGTTCCACCCGGCCAGCAGCAGCGACACACCAAATGGTCTCACACCCCTGATAACATCAACAACATTATTGCTGCCTCTCTACACACCAAATGGTCTCACACCCCTTATAACATCAACAACATTATTACTGTCTCCCTACACACCAAATGGTCTCGAACCCCTGATAACATCAACAACATTATTACTGTCTCCCTACACACCAAATGGCCTCACATCCCTGACAACATTATTACTGTCTCTCTACACATCAAATGGCCTCACATCCCTGACAACTCCAACAACATTATTACTGTCTCTCTACACATCAAATGGCCTCACACCCCTGACAACATTACTACTGTCTCCCTATACACCAAATGGCCTCACATCCCTGACAACTCCAACAACATTATTACTGTCTCCCAACACATCAAATGGCCTCACACCCCTGACAACATTATTACTGTCTCCCTATACACCAAATGGCCTCACATCCCTGACAACATTATTACTGTCTCCCTACACATCAAATGGCCTCACACCCCTGACAACATTAACAACATTATTACTGTCTCCCTAAATACCATAGAAAGCCATAACAGTGCATTTACAAAAGGAAACAGTATGTCCTAAATGTTCTAGTATATAGACCAAATTTTCTTAACTTTCATCAGCTCTAAACTCTGGGGAAAAACTCTGCTTGTTCACCCACCCTTGGACTTTGGTCTTGACCCAGAACATGAGTTTTGCATGCATTTACAGATCTGACTTACTTCGATGCAGACTATTGGTTCCCGGTCCCTCAGGCAGATGCACTTTTCCCTAATTAGTCAACTTTGACAAATTAATTATTGGGGGATTGGGGGGGGGGGGGGGGGGTGAGACTATTTTTTTAACCATCCCACATGAGGAGACAACTGTTACAACAGAGAGAGAGAGAGAGAGTCACAGCTGATGCCCCAGTGAGTCAACTGTGAAATCAAATGGGTATAGTACAGCCACAGGACCAAAATAACATGTATTTTGAGAGACAGCTGTGTTGTTGGCTGTTTTAGCATGACCAGACTAAACATTAAATGTAAACGACCCTTTTCTACGTCTTCAGGTGTACTAGGCATATAGGGCTGGACCTATATTTTACAGACCTGGACTTTACCTGGGTTGACCTGGGAGCCAAGATCTTTTTTTGAAAAGTTTTTTTTTGGATTCGAACCCATAACCTTCTGATCCACAGGTGAGCATTTAACTGCTACTCTACAGCAGCTCCCAAACATAAAAATATGTTAAGTGGTACATATGAGTAAATCTAGTCAGGCATGGTGCATTGTTTAGAACTGAAAGAGTGCTACTTTGCAAAATATGCACTGCACACTTTAGAATTAACCAAACAGACATGTACCGACAATGGTACAAACAAAATGCCTACCCAGACTGTGTGAACTCCTGCATCACGTTGGCCACTTTCTGTACCAGCTGGTCAACGGGGATCTGTTCTCCATAAGACAGGTAGTACTGTGAGGCCAGCTTTCTGGCACTTCGGGTCAACACACTGCACAAGACATCAGAACAGTGTTTACAACAACAACAAAAAGTCAGTTGCACGTCCTTTACAGGGGACGGAAAAACCAACCCCTGCAATTCCTGTTGTCAGTTTGTAATTTCATGACACAATTTTACGTTAAATAGTTTGCCACTGCTTATCGAATGGTCGGCCCCTAATACCACTGTCGAAACCAACACAAGACAGCCTGCTGCCAGACTGCACATAGCTGCAGATAGAACCTGGCACACGGAATTACAAAGCGTGTTTACAGCGCCTGAGCCACTGATTACACTTCATACTACCTATCTTCTTCTTCACTCACACTTGAAGGGTGGATGGGACATCATCTTGTGGAATCTATCTAACCCAACACATCCGATTTCAACAAAACTCCTAATTAGTCCTCTCCTTCTCCGTGTTTATTGGCTGTAAACTGTGTTGGAAAGCTCTAGTTGTTCATCCACTTCTGAACTCTGAGTTTTACATGCAAGTCCCCTTTACAGATCTAGCATATCTGTATACAGACTGTTTCAGATTTTAAAAGGAAAAATCCCTAATTAGTTGCCTCGTAAGACATGCTTGTCAGGGAGCAGTGGGTTTATACTGCTCACACCCCTTTTTCCCACCATCAAAAAGAGGTCACAAATCCCACACAGGGATCCCTATTTGTAGCTATGTACAACATTCTTGTTACGGCAGTAGGCCACACACATACACACACCCCTTACCCCTAAATGGGGCTATGGAACCTACAGGGATATACATGTGATAAGTTATTTTTTACATGATGAAATAGGTGATAAGTTATATTTTACATGACACAGGTGATAAGTTATTTTTTAAATGATGAAACAGGAGTCATAATAGAACAGTGGTTATGTGCTTGCCTTCCCCGTGTTGGTTTCATTGCCTGAATTTGTTAAGGGGGATCTGCTGCATCCCTCCAAAAAAGATGCAATAAAAGGTTTTTTCTTTGAAGTCAGAGTGCACCTGCCTGAGAGGAAGAACCAACAGTCTGCTTACAAATATGCCAGAACTGTAGAAGAGATGTGCCTGCAAAATTTAAGCACTGGAACAAGACTAAAGTCTACAGGTGGACGAGCAAACAGAACTTTCCTCCGGAGTTTACAGCTGGTGAAACGTGGAGAAGGAGAAGATATGCTTGTTTATCAACATGAAGGTCTTAGGTTTGAAACTGCCGAGGCAGACTTTTATAAATGATCCAGGACTCTTAGGCTGACCCATCTAAAATGGGTACAAGGAAAGTAAAAAGAGTCCAATATCAATATATATATATATATATATATATACACACACACACATATATAAATAAACAATAACAAAACTCTGACTCATAATGAGGAAAAAACAAAACAGATGAGACCATCAATTACTAGAGAAATCAACCAGCCTACCGGAAGTCAGGACCCATGCCACTGTAAACCATGCCGATGCCCCTGGTGACGGGTTCGATTTTGTGAATACTGTGCTCATCGTACAATACAGATTTCTGCTTCTTTTCTGTAGCTAGAACTACTCCATTGGTTGCTGTATTTGAGAGAAAAAATGTACCAAACATATTCAACACAAAGTACTATCTTGTGAATATAAAATGCTAAGGCTCTGAGTGTGTAAAATGCTAAGGACACACACAGTAAAAAAAAAAGTGTTTATCATGAGCTCGCTTAAGACAAACATCCAGTTGATATGAACAAAATTCTGGTCAAGAAAATATCTATTATTCATAATACATCCACTAGTCACCTCTTAGCACCAGTTGTTGTTTTTTTGCACTCATCGGCTGTAAACCTCAAAGGAAAGACCTGGTTGTTCATCCATTTCTCGACTTCGGCTTTGTTCCAGGACCTGAGTTTTGCGTGTGCATCTCTTTTACAGATCTTGCTGGTTCCTTGCCTCTCAGGCAGATGTAGTCAGACACTGAAGAAACCCCCCCTCTCCCCCATCAGTCGACTCTTACGACATACTTGGAGAGACAGTGGGTCTTTTCTTGTTTTCCCCACAATGGGACCCCGGAACCCACGTGGGGAGGTTAGCACCAATTGTTTTGTTTTATACAAACTCTTGATTTTTTTTTGGGTCAGTTCTTTTGAATTCCTGTTAAACAAGGCTTTAGTGTAGAATAGACAGCAGGATGAATGGAGCCGAGTATGACCAGGGGATTCGGCTGACACTCTGCACCACAGGAAGATATATTCCCAAACTTCTACTTGTGCCATCTCAACTGGAGCTGTTTTCCCTGTGTAGGTTATGGGGACCTCCCTTCCGGAGAACAGATCCACTGACCCCACTAACAAGCTTGTCGTAAGATGTGACTAATCAGGGATGTTTCCTTCAAAGTCGGAGTGCATCTGCCTGAGTGGTGAGGAACCAACAGTCTGCATACAGATAATCCAGACCTGTAAAATAGATCTGCATGCAAAGCTCAGGTTCGGAAACAAGACCAAAGTCCAGAAGAGGATGAAAAACCAAACTTTCAGTTTGCAGCAGACAAAACAAGAAGAGAACTGAAAACAGAAAAGTATTTAAAAAACAATATGGGTGCAATAATTTTGTTTGGTTTTGATATTTGTAAATTAGTATAGGTTTTTTAGTATGACTATTAAAAAGTATTGGGGGGGAAGGGGGGTGCTGACCTTCCAAAATTAGAGAGGTCTGCAAGTCTGAGCAAGTTTGGAACCTCTGTTTTGGACTATAACATTTAAGATAAGAGTTGTCATTTACTCTCTCAACCCCTCCTTCAGATAATTCTGAAATTTAGAACAAACATTTTTATGAGACACAGTGAACCCAAGAACTGTAAAAAAAAAACATATATTTACTGGCGATTCAATCCAGACCATTGTCCTCACAGTAAGTATACAAAAGCATGACACTACCAGGTCATGGAGTATCTAGCTGTATCACTCACTGACATTTTCTTCCCCAACTCACAGCAGAGACAGAAATCTTGTTTTTGACTAGGTGATCAGCTGACTTGGCATTGCAGAGTTTCAAACAGCTCAAATACACGGACAGCAGCTCAAATACACGAACAGCCAGTAAATTTTCATATAACATGTAGTAGAAGAAAAAACCGATGAAAGAAGAAGAAAATTTAAAAGAAAGAATATTATACTTTTATAAAAACACTGCTAGGGGTCCCCTGGCCTGTAAGCAAGAGGTGGGCATTGAAACAAGCGGAAGAAATGGAGATGACAAACAGCAGGCTATGAGAGCAAACCATAAGAGAGAGAGGAGTATGGTAACCATATTTCAGTGCAAAGATAACTTTACTGATGCTAATACACTGTTATGCTGGAACACTGATAAACCTGAAACAATGGAGATGGTCAGTTCAAGTCTGGTTAATGTCCTTTACCTTGAATGTTCAACAGTGGAATCAACATAAAAAGGCACATGAAAGCAAACCACACTTGCCTTTGATACCAACAGATGGTGCTCCAGCTCCAACCGCTGCAAGAGCATACTCAATCTGCACAAGCTTTCCAGAGGGACTGGAAATGAAACAAATCATATATGAAAAATATTTGCTTTTAGGCCCTGTCCTCAGTTCCACACACCTGTTGAGACAGACAGTGAGAGAGACAAAGAGACATGACAGGTGAAGGAGAGATATAAAATGGCAGTTTATGTAGGTCAGTAGGCTCAGGGCTTTCCCTCTGGCAGTACACAAGGGATGCAGTACTGGCATTCATTTTTTTAAAGGCATAATTACTTCCAACAGTATTGTAATAAGACACTTTCTGTTGTGAGTATCCGCCTCTTTTACCAAGAAAAAGCTGTGTATACATTGTATATCATATGGTAGAAAATACTGTAGCCACTTTGACTCTTACCATCACCATGAGATACCGGTAGTAGTTCTAATTATGTTACTGATAGCAGTTCTGGGAAAAAAAACCTAAATCATATATTTTTTTTAAATGTACCTTTTTGTAATTTTATCACCTGAAAACTTATTTCTTTATCACTTTGTAAATTTTTAAGTTTATTGGCTCTCCTTCGAACTTTGTCCCTATATTATGACGGTCAAACAAATACCCTAACAGGGCCTCAGTCGTTGTAAAATGCAGACTTAGACTTCCTCTGACGAACGCGTCACGGCAAAACTAGGATTACTGTCCGTTGACAGTTTTGAGAAATGCAACACTACACACGATAATAGCTAAATGGCGGGGAGACCACGCGCTCCAAGGCAGGTTAGCGATAGTGTTCTTCCGATTGACCTCACAGCCAAACGTATCCCCCGCGGTGCAAATGGGGGCTAAACTAGATGGCTGGGAATCACAAGCAGCAGCTATCGCATCTGCAACTTCCTCCAATTTATTTGCTCGTGAGTCCAGTCATCTAGTGGCGCAGGGAATACTGTCAGCGGTGTGGCATAGTCGCAGAAACAAGTCCACAATTAACATATCGCTGAGACCCTGTTAAGAGTATTTGTTTGCCCTCGATAACATTAGCCCGTTATTCGGAGGCAATCCTAGTTTTGCTGCTATTTGTTCCTTGGCAGGCACTCTGCAATTTGCACATGACTGAGGCCCCGTTAGGGTATTTGTTTGGCCGCCATAATATGGGGATGAAGTTCGAAGGAGAACACAGCCAGTTTATTTTTTTTTTAATTTGGCCTGGTGTTTCTCTAGAAAAACCATTCTTAGAATAATTCTTCTAATCTTAAAGTTACTGGATTGGATTGTCTCAAATGTTTTCTCTCCGGTGATAGATGACCTTTCTTCAGCTTTGAATTCTAATTGAAACAAAGACAAATTATTTTATTTAAATTTTACATGACAGTACGCACACTTCTGATTTTCTCTATTCTATTCCCTCAAAACCTAACACGGGGCATAGGTCCTAACCAACTTCTATTTGTATTAATATTTGCCGAAACTTGCGATACTGTGCAGGAACCAGTTGAGTAATGTTTGTGTCCTACATTAAAACTTTCAAATAATCTGAAAATGTAGCTAAAGTAAAAAAGCATTAACAACCATGATTAGGCACAGTCCTGAGTTGAGTTGAGTGACAACACAAAATTGAGAGCATTCTCAAGCGCTAAAGTAATTTGGTCAAGCCACATATACACACACAAAGCATAGAGATACTAATACATTAAAATAATTCATAAAAGGTGTTATAATTTATTTAGTGTAGAAAAACTTGTTTACTATAAAAGTTTTTCAAGAAATATTACCTGAAAGTAGTCAGCGAGAAACTGTAGCGTTCCGTCATCTTGTCAAAATTTGAACTTCCGGTAGTAACCGCTTGCCAGAGTTAGCCAGCATGCCGGTTATTCCATCTTTGGAAATGTGACATTTATCATTTGTGTGTGTGTTTGATTTGATTGATTTGATTTGGTTCAAGAACCGACATCACAGCACTGGGAGCATTCCCATAAGCGCTCTGTCCCCATCTTCAGCAGCCAGCGAAGAGTTCCGATACTAATAGTGCCAGTAGCATTCTGATTAGAGTGGTGTCTTCCTATATAATAAAACAAGGTGCAGGTACTCATCTTCCCCCCCCCCCCCCTTTTCCACACCCACACAAAGTGCCGGCACTCACTACAAAGTGTCTTTCAGAAGTGTCTGTACTTGACATGACTATTTATTACAGTAGCGCTGAAACGGTTAGGTTAAAAAAAAAATTGGTGCTGGTACTATATAGTTTTAAAAGCGAGTTTTTAATTTTAATTCCAATAGTGTTTTAATGTTAAAATATGCCAGAGAAGCACTAAAGACCTGGAACGTTAGTTTAATGCATTCGAAAAAAAAAAAATATTAATTTGAATGAATTCAAGAAATTTGACGAAACAAAAGAAACGACAGTAAGTGCTTTTAACAAACAGCCTGAACAAAATATATAACTGTGAATTATATAATATAAAGCACTTTCTGTCGTTGCCATACGCATCATCATTTATTTCGTTGTGTTCCGTTGGTAATCAAAATTGTTAAGTAAATGCGAAGCTTATCTTTTACTTTAATTCTTACAGAAACGTGACTTTACAGGAACCAAAGTCTACTTCTAGCAACTGTGCCAGATGTTCGTCAACTGGCACTAAGCACCTCTTGTGATCGAATCCACATTCTAGTAGATTATATAAACACTTGAGATTGATTCCCAAATCGATCCTAGCTTTAAAAAAATGTACCAGAAATTGCCCGGGAAAGTAAAGAAGGAAAGAAAGAAAGAAAGTAGCAGAAATAGAAAAAGAAGAAGAAGAAGAAGAAAAAGAAAGAAATGTAGAAAGAAAGGAAGAAAATGATGATGAAAGAAGAAAGAAATATAGAAAAAAAAAGACAGACAGAAAAAGAAGAAGAAGAAGAAAGAAAGAAAGAAAGAAAGAAAGAAAGAAAGAAAGAAAGAAAGAAAGAAAGAAAGAAAGAAAGAAAGAAAGAAAGAAAGAAAGTAGCAGAAATAGAAAAAGAAGAAGAAGAAGAAGAAAAAGAAAGAAATGTAGAAAGAAAGGAAGAAAATGATGATGAAAGAAGAAAGAAATATAGAAAAAAAAGACAGACAGAAAAAGAAGAAAAAGAAGAAAGAAAGAAAGAAAGAAAGAAAGAAAGAAAGAAAGAAAGAAAGAAAGAAAGAAAGAAAGAAAGAAAGAAAGAAAGAAAGAAAGAAAGAAAAATGAAAGAAAGAAATAAGTAAAAAGACTAATCTTTAAAAAAAAGATGTGGCATCATATGCCTGAGATACCACCAGCGTCTATGAATTTTTTACTACTTTATTTATTTTCTTCACCGTAAATCTGAGTAACAATATCCCCTTGTAGGTTCCGAGCACGACCAGCTCCAGGTCTATTCTCCAAATAGAGAAGGCCGTGGTTCCGAGGACACATTAGGGTGGGGGTGGGGTGTCAACCCACTGCTTTTTAACAATCATGTTGTAAATTAGGCAAATTAGGGATGTGTCTTTCGAAGTCAGAGTCCGTCCGCCTTAGAGGCGAGGAACCAACATACTGCATTCAAATAAGTCAGATCTGTAAAACATACCTGCACGTAAAATTCCAGTTCTGGGACAAGACTAAAGTCTAGAAGTGGAAGAACAACCAGGACTTTCCGCCGAAGATTACATCATGTGAACACGAAGCAGAAGAAGAAGAAGAAGAAGAAGAAGAAGAAGAAGAAGAAGAAGAAGAAGAAGAAGAAGAATATCAACAATAAAACACTGTCAAGGTTAAATTTTAAACACTGAAGACAAACGATTTTCACACAATGTATTGACTGTCGCGTGTTGTTGTGTCTAGTTAGATGCAGTTCTTTAGAAGCAGTCTTTGTCGATACAGATGAAAGTCGCAAACTTTTTAGACCAGTTAGACGTAGAGACTCAATATTTTGGGTGTGGAAATGTTATAAGGACAAGGAATGGACAGAAGAACGTGGGCGAAAACTGGTAAAATTGAACTGATCAGAGATTCTAATGACTGTGTGAGGTGGCGAAACATGGCAGCATACGCTTACCGGCTCGGCACTTGAGGATGACAGAAGACGAAAAAGCTATAGCTTCGGGCAAAATAGCGTTAGGAAATCTTTTACAAATGAAAAGCAGAGAGGGTAAGAATGAAAGAAAGAAAGAAAGAAAGAAAGAGAGAGAGAGAAAAAGAAAGAAAGAAAGAAAGAGAGAAAGAAAGAAAGAAAGAAAGAAAGAAAGAAAGAAAGAAAGAAAGAAAGAAAGAAAGAAAGAAAGAAAGAAAGAAAGAAAGAAAGAAAGAAAGAAAGAAAGAAAGAAAGAAAGAAAGAAAGAAAGAAAGAAAGAAAGAAAGAAAGAAAGAAAGAAAGAAGAGAAATACAGACATGAAACAGGGGGAAAAGGGGGGGGGGGGGGGTAAGATGAGAGAGAGATAATAACGAAGGGTCAAAAGAAAGGTAAGGAGAATTAGGACGATAAGTTTAAAAAACATTAGTTGCGTATCCTTTACAGGACATTGCAGTTGTGGTTTTTCTAGGCAAATTTCCGTCCAGTAGTTTGCCATTGCTTTCTGGACGGTTGGCTTCTCGATACCACTGTCGAAACGCAATGCCCGCAGCTGGGATCGAACCCGGCACTACAAAGCGCGTTAGCTACGCATTAAACCACAGACTTTTTTTTTTTTTTACGTATCCAGAAACCATGAGTTGAAAACCCTTTGGCTCGGTACTATGGATATCGCAACCCTTCGGCATTGATTCCATTATAGGTACCGTTAATCTGGGAGAAATGTGGCTTTTCTACCTACCTCCGGGAGTGAACCCGGACCACAAGGAGTTCGTCACCCGGCCGCCGCGAAAGTCAGGTTTAACCAACTTCGCTAGAGAGCCGGGCGTATATATAAACCACAGACGCAGTGGAAGACATGTACAGTGACGAAAAAGGGTTTGACGGGAAGGAGGGGGAGGGGTGGGGAGAAACCGACTTTCTTAGCAATAAACAACTCTAGAGTACTAGGGTACCCTATAACAAAATATCCATAACACAGGAGGTTGCGACGGAAGCGCTATCAGCAACGAAGTGCAACTTCCGGTTCCCCAGGATGCGAACACGAAATCGGAGAAAGCTAACCTGAAAGTCTAAATTAAAACGTTAATTGATGAGACGTAATGTAAAGGTATTGATTGGCGTTTTAAGTGGGACTAGCCTTGGTGGCACAGAGGCTAGCTTTCTGCGTTCAGTGAGTGAAGTTCAATGACTTCCCAGTAAAACTACGTGAAAATCAAAACCGGGTATAAAATACCCAGTTCTCATACAATTTAGTTCCCATGAAACTCAAGACTAAGTGTCGACAATCTGCTTTATACAAGGGGCATTTGGATATTTATAACGTCATTAGCGGGCCAACAGAATATAACCTGCTTTAATTAGCCAATGTCAAACATTTAATTGTGTTTGCTATGGTAGGTCCCTACCCAACGATTAAGTGTACCCTTTTAATTCTAAAAAAAAACTGTTTGGCCAGTCTGTCCCCACCACCACACAGTGACGACACACCTTCCTAAGTTACTGACCCCACCGCTGCCATTGACAAAGTTGGTTCTTTAAGCTGAGTGAGAGGAGCAAACATTTTTTATTAATCAGCTTGGAAGAAAAACACTTTTTAACGATCTTGACGTTGACCGAACAGTAGTCTAGTGTTTTGTGGAGCTATACGTGCCTAGGGCAAGTGTGATATTTTCCTGGTTTGATTACTTGCAGAATGTAACGTTACTTCTAAATGAAAGGTAAACTGCACTTAATGTAACTTTAAATAAATAAAACAAATATATTGTAGGCTATAATTTTATATTTCGATAAGTTCTTTTTTCTTCTTCTTTACGTTCTCTTTTACCGCTTCAGATGTCGAGGGAGATATACGGTCCTGCTTCGTGCTCTTCTGGCTGTTTCAAACGTAGACACATCGTAGTGCTGTAGAGCTTCTCTGGTGTTATTTTTCTATTTTGTTCTTGGTCTACCTCTTGCTCTACGTTCTTCTTCTCCTTTCGTATACGCCTTGTATGGTATAGCATCATAAGGCATTCTCTCCAGGTGGACAAACCATTTGATTTGTTGTCATGGAATGTAATTTAGAACTGGTTCTGTGCCGACTTTATTTCGTATGACCTCATTCCTGATTTGATCTCTTCTGGTGAGTCATACAGTCTTTCTCAGACACCTCATTTCCATGGTTACCAATTGTCGTTTATGTTTTATTGTGAGTGATAACGTCTGGCACTGATAGCATAGGATGGGAATGAATAAGCTTTGTATGAGGTGTCTGTGCTGATTGGGATTCCCTTATGCTATAAGATGGGGGGTTAAAAAAACAGGGGGGGGGGGGGCTGCTGTCCCAATACTTGGCTTGCTTTACTGCATCGGATGTCAATTTCTTCGTCCAATTTACCATCTTCAGCAAATGTTCCAAGATATTTAAACTGAGATGCCTGTTTAATATATGTATGCCCTAATGCTATATTTAAATCCTGCTTCTTTCTTCCTATTGATATTACCTCTGTCTTTTCGATGTTGGTTCTCATATTATTCGATTTACATTCTTCATTCATGGATGTAAGATGTTGCAAATTTATGGCTGTATCGGCTCTCCTCCGAACTTCTACCCCATATTATGGCGGCCAAACAAATACCCCAACTGGGCCTCGGTCGTGTGTAAAATGCGTACTTCCTGCGACTAACACATCAGGGCAAAAACTAGGATAACTTGACAATTTCAAGAGACGCAACACTGCAGACGTCAGTAGCAGACGATAATAGCGACCAGT